AAGCGCTGGGGTTACGGGCATGAGCTACCATGCCAGCCAATAAAAATATATATTTTTTAAAGATATGAGAATATACTCTGTGATATCAGTACAAACGTTGCCTTCATAGAAATCCATTACAAGCATTTACCCTCAGTGGCTGCAAGGATACATTAGGGTGACAGAGAAGAGAAGCATGGCTGCAGCTTGTCCGTGAACAGTCTGCACTGCTACTTTAGGAAACAGTAACAGTAGATGAGACTGCTCTGGTTCAACTTTGAATCAGCAAGTACAGATTGACCTGTTTACAAGGCAGATCTTTTAAAAATCTCTGCTTGTTTGTTCTTTTAAAGTTGATTCTGCAGATACAGCCCGATTTTGCTCATTAAATAAGTTTGAGGTTTAGGCATATTGGTGTTTGTCGGTGACTGTTGGAATCAGATTTGGCCCACAGAAGAATGCTGTGGCATGCCTTCCACTGGCCGGCCACGCCACCCACTTTCTACCATCAGGAGTTCTGACAGCATCATTTTGCTGCTTTAAAACCTGGACATTTGCAAAACTGCCCAGCAGCTGGAAGGAAACTTGAAGGTCACAGAATCTAAACTCCTCCATGAAGAGATTAAGAAAACTGAGTTTCCATGGAACCTGATATGTTTCCTTTCAGACCCCAATACTTCAGTGTCATCAGGTATTCATCCACCAAAGTAGAGCTGTTGCTGGGTGCCTGGAAACCATTTAAAGTTCATGGTGTTTGTTTGTTTTTGAGTGGGGGGTAGTTGAACCCAGGAGTTCAAGGGTGGTATCATCTTCTGTTACTGTCTCCTGAAGCAGCAGGCTATTCATGGGTTGAGTCCTGCTGAGTTTTGTGAGGAACTTCCCTATCCTGCTCCACTGGAAAGACTATTTTAAGATTTTTCCTGTAAGATAATTGTATGGATATGATCTTGTATTAAAACTGGGATTCAGCCAAAATGGCGGTCTTGATGAGAACATCAAAAGTCAACTGTGAAACCCCATGAAAAAGTGGAGGTGTGTGTATGGCATGAGTGGGCAGCTCAGCAGTGGTGGGTGAAGAACAGGAAGAGCAGACAGGTTACCTGTATTCAAATCACATTTTTGTGGCATTGGACAAGTTACCAAACCTCTCTAAGCCTCAGCTTGCTCACCTGTAAATTGGTGATAATTAATATTGACAGCTGCGTAAGTAGAGTTGCTGCAGTGGTGGTCAAAGCTTACACACTAGTAAGAATTTGGCACGTGCATAAAAGCTATTGGCCTTGTCTGAAGCTAATAAGCACTGCCTAATTGTTGTTTTGTTCTAGATCCCTTTTGGGAACTCTGGAAACTCGACTTCAAACAACTTGGATAGTGAAACTGGGGGGACCTAGAGGACTTTGTATAATGATCTTCTGCACTGTAATACGAGTAAAAGACCAGACTATGGAGACAAGAATTTAAAAAGAGGCTGAGAAAGCAAGTGTTCTGGCCAGGCTCAAAGGCTAACGCCTATAGTCCCAGCACTTTGGGAGGCCGAGGCAGGAGTTTTGCTTGATCGCCAGAGTTTGAGACCAGCCTGAGCCACCTTGTCTCTACAAAAAAATTAAAAAATTAGCCAGGTGGTGCTCACCTGTAATCCCAGCTACTCGGGAGGCAGAGGTGAAAAGATAGACTGAGCTCAGGAGGTTGAGGCTGTGGTGAGCCATGATCGTGCCACCGCACTTCAGCCTGGGCAACACAGTGGGACCCAAACTCAAAAACAAAGAGATTTATAAAGCAAATGTTCAGCAATTTTTTTCTAGATTAAATGGTATTATCCTCATCTTATATTTGCTTAAATTTCCATAATGCTGTATGAGGTAAACATTCAAATTATACTCATTCTAAACCACCCTAAATTGAAGTGTAACTTTAAAAATTAGTTTAAAAAATTGAAATGTAGGCCGGGCTCGGTGGCTCAGCCTGTAATCATAGCACTTTGGGAGGCCGAGGTGAGTGGATTGCCTGAGCCTGCCGGTTCGAGACCCGCCCAGGCAACTTGATGAGACCGCGTCTCTACAATAAATCAAAAACTAGCTGGGCATGGTAGTGTGCGCCTATAGTTCCAGCTACTTGGAAGACTGAGGCGGAAGGATTGTCGGAGCCCAGCAGATTGAGGCCCGGGAGCATGCCACTGCACTCCAGTCTAGGAAACAGAGTGAGACTCCAACTCAAAAAAAAAATTGAAATGTACAGTTTTTAACGAAAAAAAAAAAAAAAAAAAAAAAAGGC